GTAACCGTTTTTTCATCTGAAATGTCATTCTAAAAAATGGGTTTTTTTTTTCTCTTTTTTTTAATTTTTGCTGAAATACCAGCACGGTGAAATTAGGATACGTCGTTGTTATTATTATTTTAATTTTCGATAAGCATCCGATCTTCCCCTCCCCTAGTGCTCCATTGAGGTTTAGGTATGATTTCTCCTCTCTATTTCCACGACTACCGTTGTGTATAAGGCTCTTCGTTGTCATGAACCAACGAGAGGAGGTTCACCAAAGCGAGTGGCAAATGATGAAATACATTAGCCATCATCGTAAGAGGGTTCGAGACGAAACGGAAACAGCGAGAGAAAAGAGTGAAAAAAAAAACCCGAGGAAATTGAGCAAAGAAGAAGAAACCCGCTGATCTAAAATATTTTTATTAATTTAGTAAAAATCAACGTAAGCAAAACTCAACTAGTTAAAACATATATTATAACTTGTAAATTTAGGTCAACCTGAACATAACTGGTAAATTTACTGAGCATAACTCAATTATGTAAACATGAACATAACTCAACTGATTAAAATATATAAACTAATTGTAACCATTAAATTAAAAAATGTATGTCATCATGAACATAGCTCAATCCACCCCGTTCCCGAAAATATCGGCATAATTTATATTTTTTTAATTAAAACAATCAAGTCAACCCAAACATTACTCGTAAATTTACTAGCATAACTCAATTATGTAAACGGAACATAACTCAACTGATTAAGATTGTAACCATTAAATTAAAAAGTGTATGTCATCATGAACATAGCTCAATATGCCGCGTTACCGAAAATATCGGCATAATTTATATTTTTTTAATTAAAGAAATGAATTTATTAAAAAATTAGGAGTATATAACAAAGAAAGCTTCAATACTCTCACCCTATTTCCACCCAATTTCATTTTTCTAGAGAGAGAGAGAGAGAGAGCAGACTAAACCTTGAAGTTCATCCATGGAGTCCGAATCTTCAACGTAATTCACAATTTCTCAATTGATTTTATTTATTTATATTTAATTTTTCAATTTTTTCAATTTCCGGCAACCCCAAATTCTTCTTTTTTGCTGTGCAGATTCGAGAGTTGTGAAATTATGGCGGCGCTTTTGGGTTCCAGTCCTCTGCTTCTGCAGTCATGGACGCTCTGCGCCGCCGCCAACGCCGCCGCGCCGGAGACTTTCTCGGTGGAGGTTATTGGAGATGTGGCTTTTGTTGCCTTCTCCGCTGTCCAAATCCTGCCGGGCTCTGGCGGCGGAAGAGAGTTAGTGGCGTTGGAAGGTGACGTTGAGGAGCTGTTTTGGCCGTTGAATCGCCACCGTGAAGAGCTCCGGGCACCGGCCATGGCGGATTCCGGCATCCTCAAAATCTTTATGAGTATTTTTACTCATCAGAATCTTTCCGAAAAGGTTCAATCTCTCTCTCTCTATATATATATACAATTTTAACCAAAAAGTAATAATTTGTTAGATAATTTTGAATTTGGTCTTTTTTATTATTATTTTTTATTTTTCATTCTTTTTAGATATATATTTTTTCTATTTTTATTTTTTGGTTCAGCTAATTATTTAAAATAATAATTTTTTTTTTTTTTTGTGTCAATACAATATGAACCTATTTTAAAAATTTAAAGGACGAAATTTCTTAGAAAATTAAAAAAAAAAAACCATAAAGGTTAATTTTATAATAAAATAATAGTAATAATAATAGAAACGCCAAATTGTAATTAAAATTTAAAATATCGAAATTAAAATAGAAAAAAAATATTTTAACTTTAAATTATTAATTTATTTATCCATAACTATATTTTGAATTATGAAATTTTATGGGGATTTGGGGGTGTGGTTGACTCAAGTGTAGGAAAGGGACTTGGAAAGTCTTCCATTAAATTCACCAAATATTACTTACAACTTTGAATGGAAAAATGGGAGAATTCCTCTCGTTTTTTTTTTTAATGTTTTTTTGTTGATCTAAAAACTCGACTAACTTGAACTATTCAGTCCGATTGGGTTAGATTTTGGAAATCTAAAAATTAGGATCAGTGGATTGACGTTTTTTGGTCGGGTCAACCCACTTAAGATTACAATCCAACTCTACCCTACGTTTTTAAGATTATTATGAAAATTAAAATTGTAACCGATGTAAATGATATGGTGTGACTTGTGAATGTTTGATATTTGAATTTTATAAAATTTTAGTTATTTATTTAGCATTATTCTAAATAAATAATCTTTTTTAAATAATTAGATTAGGCTGTAAAATAAAGGGTTGGATTAGATTAGAGTGTGAATTCTATTCGAGTTGTTTGGGTCATGGACCCAACCAATCAAATCGGGTTGGTTCAAATGATTTTCAAAGAATCGTATACACTCTTAATTTTTTTTTAATATAATTTGATAATGATTTCAAATTGGTTAATGGATGACATATTGATCTTTATTTCAAACATCTTCACCAAATATTCAAAACTTCCATCTTTATTTTTTAAATTGACCATTGACTGCAAAACTAATTTAAAGAAGGGTTGAAGAGGGAGAAAAAGGACAAATCATTAATGATATAAAAAAAATAATATACAATTGTGTCATAAAATGAGCCTCACAAAATAGACTTCAATAGTTTTTTTTAGTTATTGGTTTCACTATTTTTCAATTTTTTAAATCTCTACCTAAATGTTTTAAATATATATATATATATATTTTTTTTTTTTTTTTTTTTGTAAATCTCTCAAATTACTTCTAAAAAAAATTACTAATAATAATAATCATTTTAAGTAATACTTTTAAAAGAATAAAAAAAATAAAGAACAAATTTAAAGTCTAAAATAATATTTTTTTTTTTACGAAATAATACAAATTCTTCTTATCAGATTTCTAGCATAAGTTATTTTCACATACACATGTTCATATATTAACTACTAAATTTTTTATACAAACCGACACATGTAAACTACGTCGAGGCTTGGTTAAGAAAGAAATCCATGATTGATTGCAAAAGGTAGTGTGAACTGAATTTTTTTTTTCTTTTAATTAAATTGAATGGAAAAGAGATGGAGATTTAAAGGAAACTAAGTGGATAGGGACATTTGAGCCTTTCTTCAATCAAGTGGATGTTGACCTTTTGTTTTAATAATTGTAGGATTCTTTTTTATTTTTCATTTTTTTAAAAAATAACCTTTTTTTTTTTATGATGTTTTTTAATAATAATAATAATAAGTAAGTAATTTCGATATTAATAATTAAAAACATAGTAATTCTTTTTTTTTTCTTTTTTTTTTCTTTGCGATCTTATCTGTTGCAGATGACAAAGGTAATGGAGAAAAGTAAGTCAATAGTGATTACAGGCCATTCACTTGGAGGGGCAGCAGCCTCTCTATGTACTCTTTGGCTGCTCTCTCTCTTTCATTCCAAAACCACGCACCACCCTTTGTTATGCATCACCTTTGGCTCCCCGTTGATCGGCAACGAGTCGCTTTCGAGAGCTATTCTTAGAGAACGATGGTGTGGCAACTTCTGTCACGTAGTCTCAAACCACGACATTATGCCGAGGCTTCTCTCTACTCCGCTTTCCTCCTCCCTCTCTTCCCAGCTCCATGTTCTCCTTAGATACTGGCATTTGTCGCTGGCCTCTCTGCAGTTTGGGAAGCTTGCTACCCAACTGTCAGATAAAGAGAAAGACGAGCTCTTTCGGGTTGTATTGGCTCACTCTAACACGATATCTAACTCAGAAGAGGAGTCGCTACGAAGTCAGTTTTGGCCATTTGGGAACTTCTTCTTTTGCTCAGAAAATGGGGCAATTTGTTTGGACAATGCTATATCAGTTCTGAAGATGCTCTATTTGTTGCTCAAAACAAGTGTTCCAAACATGAGCATTGAGGATCATCTCAACTATGGAGATTATGTGAAAAAAGTTGGAGTTCAACACATGGAGAGGAAAAACTTCTCCTCCGAGCGTCTTCCTAATTCGAGCTATGAAGCAGGGCTGGCTCTAGCATTGCAGTCCTCAGGAATACCTTTCCAAGTAATAAAAGTTCTCAACTTCCCTTTCTTATAACAGAACTTATTGGTTTGTGAGAAGAAGAAAACTTAGTATTTCAAAATTGCAGGATGAAGTGGCTCGAATGGCTGAAAATAGCTTGAGGACGGCCAGGAGAATGGGACAAACGCCGAACTTGAACGCAGCGAAACTGGCTGTAAGCTTATCTAAGATTACGCCTTACAGGGCTGAGATAGAATGGTATAAAGCCTCTTGTGATGAAGCAGGTGACCAATTGGGGTACTATGATTGTTTCAAGCAAGTAAATACTTCAGTAAAACATGCTAGAGTGAACATGAACAGACACAAGCTTGCGACGTTCTGGAACCGAGTGATCAACATGTGGGAGAACAATGAGCTTCCTCCAGATTTCAACTTAAGAGCGAAGTGGATCAATGCTTCGCATTTCTACAAACTCCTAGTAGAGCCATTAGACATAGCAGAATATTACTGCCGTGGCAAGCACATTGCTCATGGGCATTACTTAAAGCATGGAAGAGACAGAAGATACGAGATTTTCGACAAATGGTGGAGAGGGAGCGACGCTGCAGACAAAGGGAATACTCAGAGGACGAAATACGCAGGTCTGACTCAAGATTCATGCTTTTGGGCAAGGTTGGAGGAAGCCAAAGACATGCTTGAGATTATTAAATGTGAAGGAGATGTGAGAAAGTTGGCTCCAGTCTGGAGAAGTCTGGAGAACTTTGAAAGGTATGCCAGAGGATTGGTTGAAAGAAAGGAGGTTTCTAAAGATGTGGTTGCAAAGAACTCAAGCTACACCTTGTGGGCTCAAGAACTGAGGGCACTGAAGCTAAATATGTAATGATTAGGTACTTAATTTTACGGCAGAAAAGTTCTAACTCTTAAGTAGTTAGCACCTTGGACTAAGGATCTCTAAATCTAGAAAATGCTAACTTGATACTCAATTATCTACTAATTGAGAAAAGTAATATTGTCAGTTATGCCATAATATGTTATAATATCATGTTTCTGGTCTACAATATCAAAATGTCAATCCAAGTGATGCAGTTAATGTAGATATAAAAGCTAATACCTGCTCTTTGGTCTTCATGCCCACAAAAACAAGTCCATTAGCTGTACAAAAGGTCATATTTCCGTCCTCAACAAAAGACGCCTGATTTAATTTCCTCACGAATTTTCATTAACAGCTTTGTCGATTTCTTCTACGTGATTTCGAAGAACGTTCCACTGCAGAAAGACGACGATTAAAGAAAATAGAAAAGTTAATTGTTTTTAATAACAGAATTGAAAATTGAAAATTTTAAGAAAGTAGAAGTGCACAACACCTGATCCAAGGATAGCGAGATGCCTGTAAACAAAAAGAAAATCAAAAGACATACTCAACTTCTACATTTGCAGTATTATATGCAACGTCATGTCAATAATATAGATCATGGTAAGTTAGCATTTATAAAAAAAAAATGAAACCAAGAGCTTCCAAACATTCCATTAGGAGAACAAAGGAAAACCCAACGCAATAGCAATCTAGAAATTTTTTTTTCTTGAACCCTTTAAACCACCACCTGAAACACACTTAAACTTCATCTTCCATACAAGCTCATAAACATATGACTTTTCCTCTTCCAACATCTTCAATCAAATTAGCAAAGTATTTATTTTTAAACAACTCATTCTCTTCTTCTTCAAAACCGAGACGTTTCACCTTCTCCTCCAACAGCAACTTGTTTAACTCATCTTCAACAACAAAATTATCTCTCATTTAAAACCCCATGTTATCAGCATGAATTGTGAAAAAACTTGTTTGGCCAACCTTCTACTACTGCTTCAATTGAAGTTTCAACACCAGTTATTCTACCCAAACAAACCACCTAGAAATTAGTAGTTGCTTATGTTCAAAAACCTCCATGGGCACTCCTCACTCTACCAACTAACAATCTTGATGATTGATTTACAACTATTTGAACGACAAAGCTTCCTTCTTTAGGATACACAATCTCAGTTTCAAAGGGGAGAAGCAACAATAGTTTTATAACAGCCTCCAAGCAATCTAACATATTCATAAAATCTCTTCTTGTCATAACATCAAAGGTATTCATGAAGCTTAACGCATCCCCCATAGCATGGCATTACTTTGACCTAACCGTGTTTTCCAGCGTCCCACCTCTCATACTTGGGTGAGAAAGCCCCCACTATCCTCCACCCTTCATCTATATCTTATAAAGTTCCTCTAACTCCTCCTTGACTACCCCTCTCAGGAAAGCTTTGGCCACTGTGAGAGGACTAAATATGCAATCTTCATGCATAAACCTCCTTAAGGTTCCTTAATATTGTATCAATCATCGTGAAATTGACGTCTTGTTACAACAATGATATGTTTCCAGCAAATTTGAACACGCTCAAGTCTCTTCTTCACCCTCCGTACTTTTTTCCTTCAAATCCTTCACCCAGCTCTTTAATATCTATTCTTTCATCCTCTTTATATTCGTTCTTCCTTAAATGTTGCCAACAAACTATTTACATAAACTACATAAGAAAAGTATAAGCAAAACAAAATTTTAAACAAAATAATTTTGAAACCTCACTAAGTTTTGCCATAACAGAAGCCAAAGAAAGAAATTTTCTATAAAATGAAATATAGATACACCAAACTTCATAAGCTTACATACAAACATCCAAAACAAAATTCCTATTCACTTTGAACCAAACACCCCATAGTGAAGTCATAGATGCAGTTTTCGATCATTTCCCTAACATCTATCTCAAATTGTAGAAAGAAAAATAAAAAAAAAACGTAAGAAAAAATAATAAATAAATAAATAAAATCCAGGCAAATGCTACTGAAATGAAAGACGATAAAAGTCACAAAGTGGAACATGAACCCTAGAAAAGCCACAAACTAGAAATCCAAAACGAAAGGCGAATTCATCAACTGCGAAAGAAAGAGAGAGAGAGAGAAAAGAAGACGATGGTGAGATGAACCTTTTTTTCCAGGCATTTCCTTTCCATCTTTGACATAAAACTCACGAATATCCACCACAATCTTTCCTTGCCAGTTCCTGACCATAACTCTACGGTTCTTCGAAATCTACATTTCAAAAACATTTAAAGTGTTGAAAGCAAGGAAAAGACACTAAGAACAGAAGAAGGAAGAGAAATGAAGAACCTCGCAGACGACGATTTCGTCGGTTTCTTCGGAATCTTTCTTCAATGTCTTCTTCGGAGGAGCATCTCCTTCGGATGCGTGGTCTTCATCGTCCTTTCGCTTTCCTCTTGCAGACATCTCTTCCTCCTTTTTCGCTGTAATTTTGCGACCGACTGTGCTCTTCAACACTTTGCAACTGCAAATGAGCGCGAAACAAATGGCGTTGAACTCATCAAAATTAACTTTCCGTCCTAAAAAAACATAGGTTAAATTAATAAATAAATAAATAACTCAAAAATATATTTAAACTTTCAAATATTTCTATATATAAGACTTCAAGCTCATCCCTGGCGGATGTTCTACGCTTTGGCCCGTTGCATATCACCGCTAACCTCAATTTTAAAAATGTGTTTGCTAGAGAGAGGTTTCCAAACTCTTTATAAGAAACTGAAGTCACAATTTTTAAAACGTATTTTCTAGAGAGGGAGATTTCCACACTCTTTATAAGGAATGTTTTTTTCCCATCTCCAATCGATGTGAGCCACCCCCTTCACCCCTTCGAGGCCAACGTCTTCGCTAACACAACACTCTGATGTTTGACTCTAATACCATTTGTAATAGCTCAAACCCACCTCTAGTAGATATTATCCGCTTTTGCCCGTTACGTATCGTCACCGCCTCACGATTTTTAAAACGCATGTCAAAGAGAGGTTTCCACATTCTTAAAAAAATGTTTTATTCTCCACTCCGACCAAGATACAATCTCATAGCATAAATGTCTTGAGGGCTAGACTAATGTCTTTACCTCTTTAAAGAGATATCATAATGTTTTTGGTTTTCAAGAGTCATCTAATTTTTTAGAATTCTTCCAAGTATCGACCATGATCGTGGAAGAATCACAACGCTACAATGAGGCAGTCTCTCTCGATAATTTCTCCGATCGTGGTCGAGACAACTCCAATCTCAAATACAATGCAAAGGATCATATCAACCTTAATTAAAACAATATAATTTAATTGAAAACTTAATCCAAGAAAGAAGGGGAAAGAAAAAACAAGCATTTAGACAACACAATCCTAAGCAGAAAGAAGAACAATTTATATACGTGCATGAGGAGGTGTCTGTACAACATCATATATTGGTAAATGAAGCCATTCTGAGCATTACTAAGAATTCACAACATCATCAAAGAACAGATTCTCAGCTCAAACCACTTCACCACTACTTCAAACACTTATGCTGCCAACGGTTCTTCCATAGCTGCAATCCAACAAATTTGATGTATTATGAAACCAGTGGATGTAAAAGAGAGAGAGTAGAGAGAGAGGGAGAGAGAGAAAGAGACCTCTTCTCTTTGTGGGAGCATCAGATGGAACAATTTCAGCATCTTCTTCCACGGCCGCCGCTGATGCAACAGGTTTTTTGGTCGGTACATCGGGAAGATCCAACCCTTCGCCATTTTCTTTAGACGTTGGGATCTCGGGTAGATCTTCAACGGTGAGCTGAGAAAAAAGTTGATAAGAGGCTTGTTATGGAATCAACCCAAGGGAAAGTTTTGAAACGGATTATCTTGATGATCAAGATTAAAAATAAAGAAAACTCGTTTCTGAACTCGTGATTCGAATCATTCCACAAGAGGTAGTTCATATCAAGATCGCCTTGGTATTGTAAAAGGCAATCGGGAGCAGCCACAACTATCGATCTTAGGAGTTTATATCTTATATGGGTTCCTATCATGCAAGATGAAAAATAATAATGAAAAAGACAATAAAACACACAATACCTGAGCTTCCAAGCTCTCAAATTCTGCTAAGATTTGCTCCTCGTCTTCTTCTGATAATTTCTCTCCTAAGATGGCATTGATTTCCTTCAAAAATAGATATAAAATTTAAGCTCAAATCATGCTGGTCTACTTCGAATTTTGTATAATAGGTTAGAGAGCCCAACAAAACAAGAATTTTGAGTAATTAAGCATTTTCTCTGTTGGGTTTCTGAAATGGCAAGGTCAAACAGTTTATAACGGACTTCTCAAAAAAAAAAAAAATGGTCAAACTAAGGAGCATGCAGACTCTAGGATCCAATGATGCTTAATAAAATAGCTTCCAAGGGGAAACCCCTGGCAAAGGTCTACAGTCTCTGCATCTACTCGAAGAGCGCATATTTGATTCTTCAATGAGCTTAATTGTAGCAGACCAAGCCTACTGCTAGTAGATATTGTTCGCTTTGGCCCATTACGTATCGCCGTCAGCCTCACAGTTTTTAAAATGCGTCTACTAGGTGAGGTTTCCACACCCTTATAAGGAATGCTTCATTCTCCTCTCCAACCAATGTGAGATCTCACAATCCACCCTCCTTAGAGGCCAACATTCTCACTTGCACACCGTCCAGTGTCTGGCTTTGGTACACTTTTAACACTCCAAGCCCACCGCTAGCAGATATTGTCTGCTTTGGCTTGTTACATATCGCCGTTGGCCTCACGGTTTTTAAAACGCGTCTGCTAGGGAGAGGTTTCCACAGCCCTATAAGGAATTCTTCGTTCCCCTCTCCAACCGCCATGGGATCTCATATTAATAAAGATAATCTTTGATATCCCCGAAGTCTAGGCCTGAGGCCAGATGCAAGATTACATCGAAAAACTAAAAAAAGAAATACATGCTTAATAAAATAGAAAAGGTCCACAAAATTATAAATTCTTGTCACAAAAAGCTAAGAAAGAAGAAGGTCCCCCGATTGTGATGGAGGTTGAGGTGATGAGAACATTGGAATTGTCACAGTCAAGACAAATGAGAGTTCGCTGGGCTCCTTTTGTTGGGCTTTATTTTGTATGCCCTTATATATTCTCTCTTAACGGAAGCTTGGTTTCTTAACAAGAAGAGGAGAAATCTTTGTAAGAAATTCAAATCAGACTGAATATCCTGTACAACAAGAAGCCAAAGGTGTGGAAGAAGGATGGAAATATGCCAAGCTTAAAAAAGATTGATTGTGGGCACCAAATAGGATATAACCAATAGCATTGATGTGACCACAACAATAGAAGCAGCAACATCAAAGGAAGATCACCATATAAGGAGCAAAGGAAGAAGATTGGGCTCCTTCCTAACTTAGAGACTCAAACGCATTTGGAAACTGCGATGAGCCACTGAAACTCATACTAGTTAAGAAAGAAGGAAAGAACATGTTGAGAAAAAATGAATACACATGGATTTTCAAGACAAGACAAATCTTGTGTTGGCCATCACTTATTCAGCCCCTACTCAAAAGCTAACTGGCCATGGTTGGGGTAACATGGGTGCTTACCAATGTTTTTGACTACAACATTTGGATTAACTGAGAGCAAAGGTGTAAGTTTTTTCTTAAAGATCAAATCAACATCTTCGGTGAGGAGATTTGAATCTCTAACATGGATCGTGAGTATATGTCTTAACCAGATGTGTTATGTTTAGGATCGTAGAGTAAATGTGTGGTTGAAAAGAACTAATCGAGCATGGACCATGGAATGAAAGGAAAACTAGTGCTTATAATAATACCAGTAGGGATACATATCACATGTCAATAGTGGCATATTTACAATTACTTGATAAATTGAAGGATATGAATTGAAAATTAAAGAACTTACATCCTGATATGCCTTGGCTTCAGCAGTATCATCCATCAGCTTTTGGACATCTTCTATATTAATTTCACTTTGTATAGCTTTGATCGCATTATTCCCAGCCTTTAAACTTTCAAAAACAGCCTTTTGTTTGCTGGCCAATTCAATATCTGACAACTAAGCCAACAATTATATCAAGGTACGAACAAAAATTTCTAAACTACATAGAGTTTTTAAACATGGAAAACAAATAGCGAAGGAGAAAATTTAATTGTTAATGTTGAACCAGAAAACCAAACCTGGCTATTGCAACCATCAAAATATTGATTTTAAGATCTAAGGCAACCATTACTTTGAATAGAAACAAAAAGTACAAAAATTTTCAGTTAACAGAACTCACTTGTTGCTCAACATTTATCAGCCAGGCATCAACTTGCTTTAATAATTCTTCTTGTGCCTTTTTCTTCTTCAAAGCTAACAAGGCTCGATCCTTTTTCTTTTGACGAACTAACTCTCTTGCAGCGTTCTTTTCTGCTTCAATGACAGCATCAAGCTAGGGGAAAAAGTCACGGAGAGACAAAAAATTATTATTCAATTTTCAAAGTAAAATATACTTGCATTCCTATGAAAGAAACCAGTAGAGAAGTCATTTTGTGTAATATCTGACCTTTTCTAGAGATATTTTGTAAGTTTTGGGTCTTACGCCCAGGTTAAATTGCAACTTTTCTTTATGATTATTAGTGGTCATGCATAAACCAATTCCATGGTTTATAGATGAATTAAAATCCTGTTTAATTAATACTCATAATGGATAAATTGAAGTCAAATAATTAAAGAGTAGTTCATGACAGCATTCAAAAGTATGGGAAATCATAAATACTCATGAGAGATGAACTTTCAGGAATTTTTTTTAAATAGACTTAGAAGTTGGAACATCATAAAAGAAGATATCTTCAAGGCTCACAAGCTCTTTTGAAAAAGAATGCATTAATTTGATGAGATATCATTAAAGTTCCATGGCTATTTAGAAAGAATTTCATAAACGTATTAATGAGACCTAAATGTGTTTGATCCCCATTTTTGTTTTTAAAGTATAAGACGCATATCAAAACACACACCAAAGTGACAAGCCTCTCTCACCTCAAGATGAGAGGCGACAAAAAGCATCATCTAAGGGAAGTGAGGTGCACATAAATAAATGAACAAATAAATTATATATAGCAATAATTTGTCAAGGAAAATAGTTATACGATGTCTAAACATGAAACGTGAATATTTTATACATGAAAAGAAGTAAAAATGTACGATGATCTTTCCATTCTATTAAAATTTAAATAATCAATTAGTAATTTCATACTATGCTTGCACTGTCATTCCAATCAAAGCATCCATTAGTTCTAGACGTTTGAAAATTCAGAGTATTAGCTATAAACAAAAAGAAATGAGGTGTCGTTGAGTTGTGACACAAAGAACGAGAGAACTTGCCGAGCATACAACAAAAGAGAGAAACTTTCTAAGAGAAAAAAAATAAATAAACACCTAAGATAAGAAACAATTAATGAAACAAATGAAAACTTTGAAACAAAGACTCTACTTCACATCTGTGAGATCCCACATCGGTTGGGAAGGAGAACAAAA